TAAATTCTGTTTGTCTGAAAATCATTTCAGATTCCTCAAAGCACAGTGTATCTATTTTTTTCTGAGATGGCCTTCATTTTAATTCAAATTGACTTCCACCCTGAGGGGCATTCCTTGGAGAAACAGAGGAGGAAAATGGCAAAGTTTCAGGAGCCAAATGGAACTGTAATCACTCAAGCTGAACAGCCACAAGTAAACTAATCTGTATTACTACCTTGCGCTTTACTTATTCATTTCAGAAGTTTAAGTTGCAGGAAAAGAGGAAAGAAACAACTACAATATTTCTTGATATGATATATGCTTTATAATGATAATGAAATGGAGGTCATAAAGGCCCTTGTCTTTTTATTTATGGGTCATTGCTTGTAATGTTTGTAATGTACAGTTTTATTTAACAGATCGTACTTTCTGTGAAGATTATTATTTTATTACTGAACAGCGGATGAAAAGAGTTTTATTTATGCTGTGGATTACCAATGCATAAATAAAAAATTGTGTGACTGCATAATCTCCATGAGATTTATTGCCAGAGGTTTCAACTCAAAAGCCCGAGTGTGTGGAGTCATTGCAAAGTCTGGGCAGCGTTCAAGACAGAAATACATCCAATATTCTTTAGACATTATTAGAGTTAATTAACAGGAGCACTAAGAGGATTCTAAAAGGGATGATGAGCTCAGAGAGGTGATGAGCCAAGCTGAAAAGAGACGGACAGTAAACTTCAGTGTTCTTGTTTTCCTTTGCCGAACTAAAATTATTTCTAGCAACTGAGAATGGGTGATATTGTAATCAGAAGGAATAGATGAGTCATTGTGTTTGTGATATCCTTTGACTTGGCGGTGGGATATGCCAGGATATGAATTTCAAAGTATCTTTTGTCATAATAGAGTCAAGGATGCTTTTTATGGCCCTTGATCATAATTTGTGTATCAAATGGAAATGACACCCCAACTTTTATACCTTCAGTGAAAACAACCAAATGTTCAATCTCACACATTCAGGAAAAGAGGATAGAATTCTGAGAAAGGAAAGGATGTGTCTTGACGTACAGTCTATCTATGGCTTTATTTTGTATTTATATAGTAATTTTATGTAAAAATCTTTTTTGTACCCAGCTTGATTTTGGTTGACCATCAGCATTGAAATTACAGCTCAGTTGTGAATACCAAAACTTTATTAGGCCAAATAGCCAGAATAATACACAACACAGTCATTTGCCATGACTGATAAAGCAAAGCCTGAGAAATGAACCCAAATCACACATATTTTGTATATTTTGTAGTGTTTTCTGAGAAAGACCAGTATGTGTGTGTAGTTGCACGGTGGCACCATTTTTTGTGTGCAGACAGTTGCTGAGCGCAGCTTGTTTCATGACATTATTCTTTGTGCCTGAGGCTGATTAGGGAAAAGAGCTTCTGAACTACACTTCCCCCTCTCAGGATGTCCCCTGCTGGACTACAGTACCTTTTGTAGGCTGCCAGATCCAGATGCTTTGAACGCCCCACCTCCCAGATGCTGCTTCAGGAGTCTCAATGTGGGACCAGCTGCATCTCCCTGGAGCAAAGACAGCAAATACTTCAACAAAATAATGTTCCTGAATAACGTGTTTAAACTAGTATTGCAATGCCAAGCAGTATTCACTGTAACTGTGTAAAGGACTGAAACTGCAAGATCACAGTGATAGTGTTTCCAGGATGAATCCTTAAAAAACTAAACAGTGACAAGGTGCTAACCACACACTTCAGAAAATCAGGAAGGCATTACCGTTTCAAGAATTTGAAAAAAAAATATGTGTATTTTGTGAAAACAGCAAAAGCAAGCCATTATATTGCAGCCCTAACACCTAACATCTGCAAGTTGAAGAATATATGTCAGGTGCCTATTGGGCAAGCAGCTGAGCTGAAGCTATGAATGTAATCTGCATTTGGCTTTAGTAAATCAAACCTAAATTGCAGAGTCTAAAGTCGATCGCTAATATGTTGTTAATGCACTCCAAAACACCAATGTCAATACAGACCTCTGGGCACAGACATGTAAAAGCCCCTCACCTCTTTTGTGTGAGCAACAGTTTGCTTGTTCAACATAACATTGAAGTGCTGCTGTTGGTTTAAAATTGCATTTTCACTGACTTCAGTAATGCTGGAAATGAAGAGAGGGGGCCCTTTCCACATATAATAAACACTAATAAACGATTATACAAAATATTATAAGGAAACTTTCAATGCAGGTGATAGCTGAAGTTGTTCTGCTGTCAAACATATATTTGCTTTACAATTTTTTATGTAGGTATACAATAGCCTGCATGTTTATCCCCCACATCATATCGTCACTTGTGCACATCTTAAAAGCAATTTCTCATTGTTTAGAACATGTTGCAAATGCTTTGACACATTGATGCAAATGATTATGTACAACTGTCTGTTGTTTCCTACATTATCAACTGGTTATGTCATGCTGATCACAATGTATTATACCAGTTCTCTGTTGAATAGTCTTACCCCCCAAAACATCTAGGCATAAGTTCATTGCATTTAAACAACATAAACAAAATAAGAATAGACAACAAAAAATCACAACATATTATATAATTTATTGCGGAGTGGTATGTGTCATCCTCAAGCTCTACCAGAGGCCTGGGAGTATGAGGGTTCTGCGCAGTATCTTAGCTGTTCCTAGGACTGCACTGCAGAGACCTCTGATGCATTACCTGGAATCTGCTGTAGCCACTTTCCCAGTTTGAGGGTCACAGCCCCCAGTGCTCCGATTACCACTGTTACCACTGTTGCTCTTACTTTACACATCTTTTCTAGCTCCTCTTTCAGCCCTTGGTATTTCTCAAGCTTCTCATGTTCCTTCTTCTTGATGTTGCTGTCGCTTGGGATTGCCACGTCTGTCACTGCAGCCTTCTTCTGCTGTTTGTCGATCAACACGATATCTGGTTGGTTAGCCATCACCAGTTTGTCAGTCTGGATCTTGAAGTCCCACAGGATCTTAACTTCATTAGGAGGTGTCTTCCATTTTGACCTTGGGACTTCCAGCCCATACTCATGGCAGATGTTCCTGTACACTATGCCAGCTACCTGGTTATGGCGTTCCATGTACGCACTTCCTGCCTGCATCTTACACCCTGCTGTTATGTGCTGTACTGTCTCAGGTGCATCCTTGCACAGTCTGCACCTGGGGTCCTGCCTGGTGTGATAGACCCCAGCCTCTACTGATCTTGTACTGAGTGCCTGTTCTTGTGCCGCCGTGAATAGTGCTTCTGTGCTGTCCTTTAGTCCAGCCTTTTCCAGCCACTGGTAGGATTTCTTGATATCAGCCACTCCTTCTATTTGTCTGTGGTACATGCCGTGCAGCGGCTTGTCTCTCCATGAAGGTCCTTCATCTTCCTTGTCCTCACCCTCGGGTTTCTGCTGCCTGAGGTATTCACTAAGCCCTTCATCTTTGGGGGCCATCTTTCTGATGTACTCTTGGATCTTTGTCATTTCATCCTGGACAGTGGTCTTGACACTCACTAGCCCTCTGCCTCCCTTGCTACGCTTGTACAGTCTCAGAGTGCTGGATTTGGGGTGAAACCCTCCATGCATTGTGAGGAGCTTTCTTGTCTTGATGTCAGTGGCCTCTATCTCATCCTTTGGCCAGTTTATTATACCAGCGGGGTATCTGATGACTGGCAGGGCTTATGTGTTGATGGCTCGGATCTTGTTCTTCCTATTTAGCTGACTTTTCAACAGCTGCCTTACTCTCTGTAGGTATTTGGCTGTGGCGGACTTCCTTGCTGCCTTCTCATGGTTTCCATTAGCCTGCGGTACCCCAAGGTATTTGTAGCTGTCCTGAACATCTGCAATGTGGCCTTCTGGTAGTTCAACTTCCTCGGTTCTGATCATCTTCCCTCTTTTTGATACCATGCGGCCACACTTGTCCAGTCCGAACGACATTCCAATGTTGCTGCTGTAGATCCTGGTAGCGTGGATCAGTGAGTTGATGTCTCGCTCATTTCTGTCATACAGCTTGATGTCATCCATGTAGACGAGGTGACTGATGGTTGCTCCACTTCGGAAGGGGGTTCAGGCCCATGCAGAACAGCAGCGGGGATAGTGCATCAACTTGGTATATGCCGCAGTCGCTGACTAACTTCTCTTCATGTTGCCTTGATCTTGGTCTCTAGTTTTCTCCTCCATGGGGGGTAATGCTCTTTGTGGCTTGTGGTGTTCATCTTATAGCCAAGCATCTCTAGGATCACTGTTGCCATGGCAATCTCGGTCGTTGTACTTATGATCTTCAATTGCCCTTATGTTGAGCGATTCTGTGCCGTAAGGGCTTGTTGTTATTGGGGCTTGGGACCCAAATCCCCCCACTGACCTGTCGTCCTGGCTCCCCCTTGCCGTAGCATATTTGTTGTACCTCATCAATCTCTAGTTTTGATAGGAGTTGCTATTTGTGGATGTTAGAACACTGAGCTAGGAGTTCAGATCCATATTTTCTGCACTAGTCCATGAATGTCTTGTTCTAGTAGCCCATTTGTCATCAGGTTGCCCTGGTTCCCTAGCACCTTGTTGACCCGGGCGACGTCCTAGCCGGTATGGCTCTTGTATTTGCGGTTTCAATATCTATATCTATCTATCTATCTATCTACTGTATCTATCTATATCTATATCTGTCAATCATATTTTCTATACATGTCTATTGATGAAGATATCCGTTGTGATAAGAATCTGTGAATAGGAACATCAGCCTAAGGAGTGTTTCACATGCTTACATTTCTAATTAACTAACAGTAAAAACGTAACTATGAATCCTGTCCAATCTCTTGCAATGTATAAATTTATACTGTCGAAATTGATATGCCATGAAAAAGTGCAGCCTTGTGCATGTCAGGGATGATTCGAGAAATGTACCAAAGCGAGTGAGACAAAGTGTGTGGGCCTTTCACAATAAAACGCCAGCTACTAACTTTCCAAGAAAGCGTTACGGTGACTTCCTGTTTGTGTGCAAAAGGCGGAGTTAAACAGTATGTGGTAGTACAGATTGACGGACGGACACGACTGTAGTTTTCATTTTGCCGTTTACAATGCGGGAAATTACACTTTTCCCACTCACCTGACAATACGGAAACTATACAGCTACAGCGACGCTTCATACACTTAACGGACAGGATTCTAGGCTGCTATAAGGCAAGCTGGACTTTTTGTTCACTGGTCAGGCGAAATAATGTGCACGTATAGTTTTCATAGGCGCACATAACGTTACAAACTTCGGCCTGAATGTATTCCTATTCATACTTGATATTATTTAAAGATGTCAACCATGGTGGCTCTAAAAACGTATTCTTCTTTACTGTAGCCTACAGACTATGGGTTAACCCAAATATAGTTAAACACTTCACCATCAAATGAGGGTTATGTCAAATTTACTGGTCATTTTGTCAGCTGAAGCCTGAAGAAGAGGGACACGGGACGAGAGCCCGTGCACATCGCTGTCATGCTTCTTCAATCCTGTGTCATGTCAGTGTCAATTGTGTTTATCCAACAGAGTTTCAACCATGGTGCAGGAATACCAGTCCCCTGTTCGGGTCTACAAACATCCATTCGAGTTAATAATGGCGGTGAGTATGATCCAGAGTGTCGGTCACCTTTTAACTCACATGACCAGCCAGAAGACAGCAGTGGCTGCCACCTGTAGGCTATTACTTTGCAGGATCTTATATAACTGAACTGGAATGGGGTCTGTTTATTTCTATTCTAGCCATTGTGGCTTCGGCGTGCAATATTTAAACATATTCCACTTTTGCTCTTATTAAACACAAAAATATATAATAAATTACTTATTCACTAGATTCCGGGTCTCAGCTGTGGCAATTTACAAGCGATCAGACACTTTCAGAAACCTACAATAACGTCTGTAGCCTTGTCTGCTTCCCAGGGTCATCCGTCTCACTCTTGATATACACTTGTCTGCAGTAAATGCCTTAAGTGACTGGACAAATTACACTGTATACCTTCTTCTCTCCTGAAGCTGCAGTAAATACAGTAATCTACAGGGTACACACTGTGAGAAAGCTGCTTATTAAACTTTGTTCTGCGTGGTGCTTATGAAATGCAAAGTATCTTTCACATTTATTCACTGCCAGGCTGATGATTTTTCACATTTTTAGCCTCTTTTAAATTGCCTAGATGTCTGATATTTATACAGAAAGTATTAAAGACATACACACATTATTGACGCATCTGTAACCTCTTAAAACTCGTCTTGTGTATTGTCCTGTGGTTGCAATTATTTATTTTATTTTCATTACAATATGATGCATATAAGTGGTCAGGAGTCTTTGAGTTATTTTGTAGGATTGCTACAGTTTTTAAAAAGCTGATGATACAGTATACCTTGAATTTCTTGTAGATGACGTAATGCTAAGATAAGAGAGTGAGGCAGCAGAAATGTTTCTAGCTATATTTATATAACTGTCTAAAAAATTCTGATTGTAATGCAGCAGGATTCAACGGTCATATGCGGGCAATCCACTGAAATACCAACAAGGATTCCATCAATTACTCACTGTATGATTAATTTGCTTTGCTCTTGATGACACCGATGCATTTGCTCTCTTCACCTACAACCTAAAACTCAATGCTTTTAATTTGTGTAAGTGACCCTGAAGTAAAGATTGAACAAAAGTAAAATGTGTGCATTTCATGAGAAGCCGTCTGTTTCCACCCACCCTTACCGTCTGTTTCTTGTTCTCTGCAGTTATATATTAAGCCAAAGACTTATGCAATATCCTCAGAGCGGGTTAAAGACTGTGATGCTACACTGACACTTTGCACTGCAGAGTACAACTCCTTCACCCAACAGTCCCTAGTCAACAACGATACAAGCTTCATTTCCCATGAAGCATCTCTCTGTACAATCCCTCTTGCATCACTGCACTTTACTGAAAAAGATTTAGAAAATGGACCTTTTGTGAAAAAGTAAATAATAGCTCCTCTGAAAAGATCCAGGCACTGACGGCATAAAAAAGAGAAAGCAGTGAATAGACTACCACCTCATTAGTTCCCCCACTCTGCCACTGACGTACTCCAGGTTATTAATCCAGCTAACACTCCTAATCACTGTCCTGGATATTAGTGAATGTTTAACCAGAGACATCATTGTTGTGCCTTTCATGGCGCGTCTTTATGACTTCCCTAGGTCTTCTTGTGCTTGAAATGCACCAGTCAATGCTGCTTATTTACCAAGGAAACCTTTCCCATTAATTTGCTTAGTGAATAATGTCATTGTATTGATTAGGTTGCTCATGCTGCTGTGCTGTATCAATACAAGCAGGGTGTGTGTGTGTGTGTGTGTTGCTGAAAGATCAGCGGTTTGGAGAGATAAAACAACCAATTAAAAGTCTTTTATTTGTTGCTTTTTACTGCATGTCAAGTAATCAACTAGTCAGGTTCACACTTCAAACTTTTAAAAGCTTTTGAGTTCCAGGTAATTTTGCTGAATTGCTGCATATTATATTGCCACATCTAGGGCTATAATATTAGCGAAAGTTTTATACAGCATGGTGATAACATTTATATTTAACAGTTTATGTGGAAAACCCACTCTGCTACTGGCTCCATAGACTGAGCTCAGCGACTCAATGAATATTGACTGGTGAGCTCTGGAGAAATTGCCTTGGACAGATGGTCACTGCTTGTTAAAGCTGCCGCAGCCGTGCAAACAGCATCAAATTTTAATATGTAATTATATAAAATGTTAAAGCCCCTAACTATTAAATACATCCTAACCTGACACAGAAATTACGTGTTTTACTATTAAGTCAGCAAGAGCTTGTGGCAGGTACAAGTAAGCTTCTTGTAATGGATCCATTCAAAGAGGCCTTCCTGCCCATTACGAGAGCTGCCTCATTGTAGGCAGGACAAAAGGGCATAACAGTGTTGTTCAATAAAATTTATAATCGTCAAGGACAAGAACAATAAAACATCAAGACAAGAGAATCTACACATTTCTTTACTAATTTCTGCTACTAAATTTAAATTTGACTTCACTCCCCCTCTTAGGCCTATTTGAAGAGGTTCCCAAAGTGCCCCCTGATCCCAGTGTTTGTGGATAGTGAGATCACCAGTGAGAGCCAAAGCGAGGATGGATCCACGCTGGTGACTGAGAGGCGCTGTGTGATCGACATTGATGCCCCGCGGCTTCTCAAACGGGTACCTGTCCTCTGACCTTTTAGGGTGCAAAAGCCATGAAACAGTTGCTATAATCAGATTATTTGTTTAGAAGAACAAAATGAAGGAATGTTTGTCAAGACTGTGCCCAGAGAGTGGCAACTCTTAAAGGTGGTATTTTGAGGCAATGTTGCATTAGATTGCATGAATGTGTTTTTGATCAACTTATGTGGAATATTTTAACATATTTATATTTTTCTGCATGTAGATTGCTGGCGTAGACTACCTGTACTTTATCCAAAAGAACACTCTGAATCGGAGGGACAGGATGCTCCACATTGAGGTCCACAACGAGACCTTTTCAAACAGGGTCATTGTCAGTGAGTGCTGCAACTACACGGTGAGCCACAGAGACAAACAACAGAGAGAACAAACACAGGAGCCTCTATTAGTGTTTCTTTGTTGTACTTGTTTTACTGTTTAACACTGTGTGTGTAACACTTTTACAATGCCTAGTTCAAAAAAGAAGTACCAGTCAGACGAGATCCCAAGTTCTGCATGTGCATACCAGTAAAACTCTGGCTTTTGTTTTCTGAAAAATTAATTCTAAGTGATCTTCTGGTGTGCCAAATGTGCTAAACACTACACAAAGTCAATGTAGTTTGACTCACTCCAATTGTAGTGGCCATTTTACCATGCTCCAAAGTCTGCAAAGTATTTTAGTTTTCACTTTTTCACATTTAGTGTTCCATTGAATTAAATGCAACTTACTTTTGAAAACCCTACAATAAAGTTCAGGAGGGCGAATGAGGTTTTATTTGAAGACAGATTTCAACATCACGGAAGGTGATTATTATCCAAAATTTCATCTCTGCCTGGTCCATTACTGACATGATGTTCTATTCCTACTTTATTACCTGTGACGTGTTCTCACACAATATCACATGCTCAAAAACACTTTACTAGCACCATCTAAACTTTTTCCACCAATGAACACTAAAAACAGCCTTACAGCACTGTCACCTGTTGTAAATAACAAAAATAGAATAATAGCAAATGCAAACATAATCTTAGTGTAGTCCACCTATAATATATCAAAATATACTTAAACTGTTTCATAAACCTAAATAATCTTAGAACTTACTAAACATGTGATCACAACTTTTCCCAAATATATGTATGTGCTTAAGTGGCTCTTTCACAAGTAATACCTACCTGCCCTTTTCACAACATAATATAAAACCACCAATATAATTTCTGCTGTTTATGATACACCACTCACTTTAAAATATATGTACAGTCACATACAGTACATCAAATGAACTGTGCAATGTTGACATAAAAATAGTTGTGTGTAATACTGCGATACCCTCTTCTGTAGGTTCATCCAGAGAATGAGGACTGGACGTGCTTCGAACAGACGGCCAGTCTGGATATTAAGTCCTTCTTTGGCTTTGAGAGCATGGCAGAGAAGATAGCTATGAAACAGTATGCTAGTAGCATTAAAAAGGTTTGCATCTTTGAATTGACTTTTACTTAGGCAGGTGTGGGGGAAAATGCTGTAAATACATGTTAATAGATTCTATTTATCAGTTAACAAACTGCAAAGTGAATTAGCAGAAATCATTTTCTAAATTAAATAAATATTTGCTGTGACCCCTCTTCGCCTTCAAAACAGCATCACTTCTTCTAGGTACACTTGCACAGAGTTTGTGAAGGAACTCGGCAGGTAGGTTGGCCCAAACATCTTGGAGAACTCCCGACAGTCCTTCTGTGGATTTAGGCAGCCTCACTTGCTCTCTCTGCTCATGTAATCCCAGACAGACTCGATGATGTTCAGGGCTCTGTGGGGGCCATACCATCACTTCCAGGACTCCTTGTTCATCTTTACGCTAAAGATAGTTTTTAGTGACTTTCACTTTATGTTTGTGGTCATTGTCATGCTGCAGAATAAATTTGGGGCCAATCAGATGCCTGCCTGATGGTACTGCATAATGGATATATATATATACTGATATAGTATCTGCATGTCCTTCTCTGCATTGAGGAGATCAGTAATTTGGACCAAATCCCCAACTCCGTCTGCCAAAAGGCCTTGTTTCCATGTCAGAGGGATGGCTTTTTGGCCGCAAGTCTTTCATGAAGGCCACTTCTGACAAGACTTTTCCAGACAGTAGATGGGTCCTACAGGGTCCATCCTACAGGGTCCATCCTACAGGGTCCCACTGTTTTCTGCCAGTTCTGAGCTGACAGCACTGCTGGACGTCTTGGAAAGTAAGTGTGATGTGTCTTTCATCAGCCGCAGTAGGTTTCTTTGGCTGACCACTGCTTCTACAGTCCTTAACATTGCCTGTTTCTTTGTGCTTTCTTCAAAGAGCTTGGACAGCACATCTAGAAACCCGTCTGCCCTTAAATTTCTGCCAGAAAGAGACCTTGCTGTTGCAGCATAACCTCCTTGGATCCTGTTGCTGTGCTCAGTCTTGCCATGGTGTATGACTTTTGACATTAAACTGTCTTCAGCAAACTCATCTTGTTAGCGGAGTGTGGCTGTTCCAGTTGTGGCCAGTTGTATTCCTCTCACATAGCTGTTTCTGTTTTTGTGTTTCATCCTACATGTAGAATTGGTGATCATTAACACCTATTTGATATAAGTGTTTAATTATACACCTGATGATAGTCCTACAAAAGTAGGAAGAAGTGATGTTGTTATAAAGGCAAAGGGTGGCCACACCAAATATTTATTTGATTTGGATTTTATTTCCGTTCAGCCACTTTTTATTTTATTAATTGACAAATAAAATGTTTTTTAAAGTATTCTTACTTACTACAGCATTTTTTACACACCTGCCAAAAACATTGTGGAAAGATAACTTGCATTTGCTTCCAGTATTGTTTGATCTGTTGTTCAGGTCTGTTATTGCTTTACATGTATTAGCCATAGTGTCACCTGGACAGTTGCATCAACCAGAAGTCTTGTCTCCTTCCTGTGTTGTAGGGTAAAGAGATTATTGAGTACTACCTCAGAGAACTGGAGGAAGAAGGAGTGACTTACATACCTCGGTGGATCCCCCCTGTCGTCTCTGGCACTGCTGCTGCCAGGCTCCAGCTGCTGCCTCCCTCAACTGAGCGAGCCATCCCAGTGAGCAGTGCTAAGAATGTGCTCGACAGTAAAGACCCATCCTGTCCCACAGAGCTACTGGCTGGCAATCCTGACGGTCAGTGGTTACTCACTATTCGTGATTAAGGATGGAATAGTTTAACACCCTCTTTGGCACTATTTTGAACAATAGTGCCAAATGTTCAAATAAAAACACTATAGTGCACAGCTCCTGGTGTCTCCATTGTGTGCATGCAATATGTGCTGACTTTACACTGTACATGTGTTTTGGCCTGTAGACAAGTTGGATGCTGACTACATCAGACGTTACCTAGGTGATTTAACGCCTCTGCAGGAGAGCTGTCTTATTCGACTGCGCCAGTGGCTCCAAGAAAACCACAAGGGCAAGGTCACAAACAGTTTTGTTTGACTACAGAGCAGTCTGTGCAGTTATGTAAAATACACATTTATTTCTAGACATGCTTCCACGCTTAATGTTAGTTTTGCTTCTCACATGGACTGTAGATTATTAGATGGAAAACAACAAGCATCCATTGGCTTAAATGTTAATACATGTAACTTTAACTTGGAGCAATGCATTAGAGGTTTGACCCCTGCTTGTTGTTGCACAGATTCCAAAAGATCAGCATGTGCTGCGCTTCCTGAGGGCCAGAGACTTCAACCTGGACAAGGCCCGGGAGCTCTTGTGCCAGTCGCTTACCTGGAGGAAGCAGCACCAGGTAGATTTCCTGTTAGACACATGGGAGTGCCCACAACTGCTTCAGGACTACTACACTGGAGGCTGGCACCACCACGACAAAGGTACTGTGAATAATAACCTGCCTAAGTGTGTATTTTCACTTTATGTCACTGTTTCCTGTTATTGTGCTGTTGTTTGTCACTTATCAGTAAATGTAAAGATACAGGGGCAGCAGGATTTGGTCTTCTGTATTTATAGTATATATGTTCACATAGGTTTAAACAGCCTGTTAATTATTGACCGTAAAGTCTGAGCAGCATCTGTCCCAGCTCGAATGTTTGAAAATGAGTCATTGCTTTTAACAGCTGATCAACCAGGATTGAACACAGGAAGTGCCCTTTGAATGTTTACATGCTTAAGGTGGTAAATACCAGCTGTATTTAGACGACAGCGCTGTAAAAGTTATTATTACGGAAATATTGCAAAGTACAGTCTAGACCTGCTCTATATGAAAAGTGCAATGAGATAACTTCTGTTATGAATTGGCGTGTGTGTGTGTGTGTGTGTGTGTGTGGTTTAGACGGCCGTCCTCTGTATGTCTTGCGCCTGGGGCAAATGGACACTAAGGGTTTGGTACGAGCCTTGGGAGAGGAGGTGCTACTGAAACAGGTACATACACAAGATGTATGCTTTAACGTACACACAAACATTTTCAGTTAAAATACCTTCCGTTACATTAATGCTACAACTTGATGAATATGACCCAGGTCCTGTCCATCAACGAGGAGGGACTGAGGCGTTGTGAAGAAAACACCAGAGTCTTCGGGCGACCCATTAGGTGCCTAGATATTAATTCATCTATCTTCTGTCAGTTTCTCACTGGTAGCAGCTAATCAGGTGAACACATGCTTGCATATATAATCCTGTAATGTCTATTTTAATGTGTCGGTCAGCTGCTGGACTTGCCTGGTGGATCTGGAGGGTCTTAATATGCGGCACCTGTGGAGACCAGGTGTTAAGGCTCTGCTGAGAATCATCGAGGTGGTGGAGGCCAACTACCCCGAGACCCTGGGTCGTCTGCTCATACTGAGGGCGCCCAGAGTTTTTCCAGTGCTCTGGACCCTGGTAAGAAGCTCATCATTTTGATTTAATTAATCATCTAATTGGGGAAGAATGGATCAAGTTGTGCAGACGCAGAGATTGCCGCTTGCAAATATTCCTGCTGATAGTAATTCTTAATAGCTGGGTGCAACATTGTGAATATGAGCAAATGATAAATGAAGAGAAAGTTAATTATAACCATGCAATATGCAGATCCGCATGGGGGTACATTTGATCATTGCTACAGCAATGTTCAAAGGTATAGTTTGTGGGAGAGTAATAGCATTCAGAAAAGAAATAAAGCAGAGTAGTAGTAGTAGTAGTGGTGGTAGTACATCAATATTTGAAAATAAATCAAATCAAACTTATCAATAATAATAGCAATGAAACCATTGTTGCGTAACCATAGTTAACCATAGTTAAGCTGATGTTAAGTAAGGGCTTTAAAAGTTTCTACCCAGAGATGTGAAAGATATTTACCAGCAAATAACAACAAACAACAAAGTTCAATTATAAATAGTTAAACAGGATGCACTATTATGACGATAAAATCAATATAACCAACCATCCATCAGCTAACCTGTTTATTTCTAAACATGATTACTTCAGATATTCATGGATTGATTTTTACAGTGTGACCCTGTGGTTGCTTTCATGTTCTCTGATGACTTTTGGTGTCTTGTTTCCAGGTTAGCCCCCTGATACATGAGAATACCCGTAAAAAGTTCCTTGTTTATGCTGGAAACGACTACCAGGGTCCAGGAGGATTGGTGGACTACATTGATAAAGAAATCATCCCTGACTCCTTGGGAGGGGACTGCATGGTGAGGTTTAGTCCTCAACATACCCGAACAGGCACGGTGAAAGAATGTGTGCCAGGCCTTGTGCTCATGACCTGACATTCACTCCTTTAGTGTGCGCTAGTCCTTATAGCCTCAGGTTTATGTGGTTTTAATCCATCAGCAATAGGGTTGGGGCGGGGTCAAGCTGGGGTGTTTACCTGAGGTGTAGGTGTGTGAGTGTGTCAGAGTGTGGGGAGAAGCGATTTCCGAGGCAGGTGCAAAGTATACTTAAAAACAATAATAAGCATGTTCGTGGTCATGAAAACCTGCTTTCACAGGGTGGTACAATGTGAAAATTTCAGATCAGCAGCCCAACCCTAATCAGCAACAAGTAGCAAGTATCTCCATGTGGTATGTGTCTTACTGAAAATTTCATATTGCTTTCTAAAAATTTAATCTGAGAAGTGCATCAACTAAACAAGAGTATTCATAGAACTATATATACAGATATTTCTTTTGCAGCCGTTTACTGTTTGGACAGGAGCAGGATATACTGTATGTACTGGTCAGGTCAGTCATACAGTTGACAAGTTATTTTAGCACAACTGCTAGCCAGCTCACATTTCAACACTGTACAATGCATTCCATCCACTCCTTACAGTTTTAACTGCATTTCATTGAGCCCAACAAACCTAAGCTGGCCTTATCTCTCTTAAAATGGCAAATTTACACAGCTACGAGTGGCTTTTACCCACCGAGAGGGCGCCTGCTCGTGAGTCACTAAACCCACACTACTTTAATTAAGTGAAATCAGACACTGTACCAACCTTGGTACATATGCAACCTCATGTTACAATACACACATATATTCATGTGAGTTGTCTGTTGTTGTCATTGGTTGAGCTTGATGGGTTTTTTTTCTGCTGCCCTCTCCAGTGTGACATCCCTGAGGGAGGTATGGTTCCCAAATTTCTGTACAGGACAGCAGAAGAGCTTGAGAGTGAGGAAAACAGCCTGTTGACTGACTCCATCTACAAGAGTGCCAGTATTTTCAAGGGAGCCCCATATGAGGTACAGTCTCAGTAAATCCACATGTATCAAAGAATAAGGATACCTTAATTCTGCTAATAGTGCATAAAGGTGAGAGCAAAGGGAGTGTTTTCTGCCCTTTTCCAATTTATGTGTATTCTGGATTTTATCCTGTGGATTAGGATGCCACCAGCTGGAAGAAATCTACATTGCAGGCTTGCAGCAAAAGAGAAACCTGTGATTAATGGCCTGCTGTCTGCCGTTCTGTGCTTCCAATTTCCTTACATCCTCCTGCAGATGCTGATCGAGATCGCAGAGGCCTCCTCCGTCATCACTTGGGACTTTGACGTGTCTAAAGGAGATGTGCTTTTCAACATCTACCATTCCAAGAGGGCCCCACAGCCTCCCAAGAAAGACACTCTCGGAGCCCATGCCCTCACATCCCTAGGGGCCGTTAATGCCCAGCTGATAGACAGGAACTGGGTGCTGGGCCAGGACTTCAGCATGGTGGAGAAATCCCTCACCTGCAGGGAGGGAGAGAGCGTACAGGTCAGGGAGAAGATGGTAGAGATTAGTGTTTTAGCAGTTTCTACAAAACGTAGTTTGTCCCTGTTTGCTGTCCGTTGCATCCAGGCAGTTAAATTCTTCATCATCGCAGCCCCAAAATTGATCCTGCAGCTTTCCTCTGTTCAAACAGGGCTCCCATGTAACACGCTGGCCTGGCTTCTACATCCTCCAGTGGCGCTTCCACAGCTCCCCAGCCTGCACCGCCTCCAGCCTGCCTCGTGTGGATGATGTGCTGGCCTCGCTGCAGGTCTCTTCCCACAAGTGTAAGATCATGTACTACACCGAGGTGCTGGCGTCCCATGACTTCAGGTGGGTTTATTTATTCCACTGTGCTTTTCTTTTTATAATAATGAAGTTTTTCACAAAGGCTGCACTGCTCTTGAAAAAGAAATCAATGTTGTCACATTCCTGGAATGACCTGTCCTTGTGTTTTACAGATATGTTTGCCAGATATATACTTTTTAAACCTGTTATACTGTTGTTGTTTTTTTACAGTATTTGATTGGTTAAAAATTAACTATTTTTTCTGCCTTGTCTGTTTTTTCTAGGGGATCCATGACCAGTCTGGAGTCTAGTCATAGTGGTTTCTCTCAGCTCAGTGCTGCCACTACTTCCTCTAGCCAATCACACGCCAGCTCCACCATCTCAAGGTAGCATCTGCCCAGCTGTGACCTAAAGCTACTGACATCTTACTCCGACTGTGCCTTAAGCCTTAAAAAAGGGTGTTTTACTCATACACCTAAATTAGAATTTGACCTGACTAAATAATATATTTAGTGGATCCGTAGTTTAATTGAACTCTGTTTCTAGGGAATGAAGGAAGTGCTTAAAGTATCAGTTTCCTGTGCACATAATGACTGACTTGTTATTCTCATTCGTTTGAATAATAGTAGTGTATAATAAATGCAAAGCACAGTGCAAATGCCAAGTCTATGATTTGTAGTTTCAGATGTGGAGCATCTGCTCTGCATGTGCTGGATCAGTAATGGCAAAAGGAGATCTTTAGCTGGACAGTGCAGCTTCTGTCCCTGAAATTGCTTTCATTGTCCACAAGATGTCAGTGTACTCTTTGCCTGGACTTGCTCTCAAATCTGCAGTGTACTTAGCGCATATGGTTTCACTTGCTGCACACTCAAAAGGAGACTTGTTTACATAAAGAATAAATAATGATGTAATTTCCAGAGTGTGTCTGCATTTTGGGAAAACAATGACTGCAGTAGCAGAGCTGTAGTGGGGTAGTAATTTTGAATAATCGTGGATACGGGTTGATAATCATTTTACAGCATTAGGTGAGATGTTCAGAGTGAGGAGATAATGTGAAATATCCTTAAAATATGTAGCACACTCTCTAGATTTCATGTAATGTTGTTTTTGGGCTTGTTAGGCTTAGCTGTTGAGTTTTCTGAGGCAGCTAATCTGAATGCAATATAGTGCAGCCCCTTGTGATCTGGCACAGGGCCAGGCAGACAACTGATTTACATAAAACTTTAATTTCCATAAACTTATTAGATGCTTCCAGCTAAATCTTAATTGAATTTCCCTGCGTTCTATTTTTTTTTCTTGGTTTGCAAACTTGTGTCATGTTGCTGTTTATCTCAATACAGTTCAGAGTCAGGTGGGCCGAGGTCTCAGAGGCGTTGATTGAACGGGAGCCTGACTTCCTGCTGGCATGTCAGGGTTGTTAGAAAGAGGAAGTGTACTGACTTTGCCAGAAGCTTATTTACTGAATTCCTCCACTTGCTCTAATGACCTCCCAAGACACACATTGTCCGTAAAAATAGCAGCACCTCTTATACCTGATACGCCTAATTTGCTCTTAAAACCACTTGTTCTCGAGCAATTAAGTGATTTAAGGCTGAATTATTTTACTGGCATTCACAGGCTTTAAAAAGAAAGACTGTTATATAGGTACCAAACAAGAAAATTGTCCAGAGAATTGTGTTGAAAACACGAGTCTCAACAAAAACTGTGTTAATCTCTGTCAATCTTGAGTTGTTAGATGACGTGAACACTTGAAGCCGTTAACATGGGAATCTTTCTCATCTCTACCATGAAGCACAGCAGTGCTTTAAGCTAAATGCTAACATCAACATGGTCATAATGATGCTGACATGCTGATGTTTAGCAGATACAATGGTCACCGTCTTCGTACAGCTGAGGATGATGGGTATTTCATTCATTTTGCAGGTATTTAGTCATAAACCAAAGTATTTGACACACTGTGTTTAAGAACAGGAACCTGATGAAGGAGCTGGATGAAAAGTGAAAGGAACACTTTTACAATCGACCCAATAGTTGTCACTCAAAACCACAAATGTGAACCTCATGGTGGCTTTAGAGGAAAAGTCATTAGGATACATCTTATGAGGATCACAAATGATGCCCTTTCCTTGAAACCACATGGATAAATGTTTGGACAAAACCAAAAGTTTCCCTCCACAGTGGATATGTACTTAACTATCTCATGAGAGTCATAATTACCAATAACTTCACATGACTGTGCATCAATCACAGAATGGGAGGTCATCTTTGTAGTTTTTGTGCCATATGCATATTCTCTTGAGACACAGGAAGCTATTGTTATGGTATGTATTTTGTCCTATGTTTCTTTGACAAATAAAAAAGAAATGATGCTGTAAAGGTTCAGTGTGTAAGTTTTTGTGGCATCTAGTGGCGAGGGTTGCAAATTGCAACCAAAGGCTCACGGTGCATTCACATGCTCCTCGGATGGTTCCGTATCTCGAGTTGTGAAGTTGTTCTTCCAACTTCAGTGTGTTTTCATGTAATCTTAAATCGGAATGTGGAATTAACATGGACGCTACTACAAAGAGTTGTTGGATTAGCATTATCAGAGCGTATAAACAACACACAGACATATAGTTCACTCTACACGGACAGCAAACTAACCGTTATAACCATTTTACAAATTACATGTTTGTAAAATATGTAAATGCAATACGTGATTTTGCACGAATCAAAGTTCTGTTGTTTATCTTTTTGCAATAAAGATTTAAGGAAGAAAACAAGATTATGATTATTCCGACACCACATGAATGCACCATCAGTCACCGCTCACCCCTCCCTCTCTGTCTGCTTGTGCTACATGATATGGGTGGGTACCATTTGGCTTTTCTTGTTTTTCTTCTTTGAAACATGGTGGTGCAACATGGCGATGTCCCTGTAAGTGTACCCGCGGTGTATGTAGATAGATATGGCTCATTCATTATGTAAGGTACATAGTTATGTATATTATATTGCATTTATGTCAGTAAATCCTCCTTAATATTACACACTGGACTTTTTTATACATGGGATAGGGTAGGCTATTTTCCATAATGAGAGTTATTGGACCTTGTATTTCATGATTCCATATTGTTGTTAATCGTGCATAATATTTCTAACTATGTAAAACTCAAAGTTTTGTTATCAACTGCTCATAATAAAAGACAACTGATTTCTTTCTAAACTCAACTCAATGCATTTCATTCATGAAGATATTGCTCAGGATATTTCCTTTTTTTGCATTTGCCACATTTGTACATCTCATCACTGTTATTCATTGGTTGTGCTGATTTCACAGATATAAGAAAATCATCTGGAATTTGTCTCTTAAAAAACTGGCCTCAAGATTTAATCGCCAAATTCCTGCAAGAAACTATTGATGTGTGTTTTGCTAACGAGTCGGCTCTATGAGCCGGCTCTTTGTTGTGAACGATAGGAGCCAGCTCCAGTCTGAGGGCGATTCACCCGCACCCCAACCCCTCGGTGTAAAAAAAAAAGTAGGAACAACAACCTACTAGCTTATACTAACTATTTTTACTAATTGAAATATACAGTATGTGTCTGTATAGATTGGTGTAATTATTTATTAACAATGCAAATTAATTTTCATTAGCAGGGTTATTTTTGTTGTACAACTAGGATAGTTATTCTTGACATTTGACACTTTTTAACCATCAATATGGCAGAATATTTCAATGTATTGCAAATGATGAAGCTTGTATATATATTTCTTGCAACAAATAAAAATACAACTTAAGCAGTGACCACCAGAAGTGGTACTAAAGGAAGTGTCGTTTGGGAGCTGAAAGAACCGTTTCTTGGAAAGGAATGGAGCCGTAAGATCTGGCTCCGTTCAAAGACCTGTAATTCCCATCAGCAAGTAAAGAAGCAACAGAGGAGGAGCGCATTGATAATGTGCTGCTGTATTAGTCTCAGATTTCTTGTTAGATATAGATATAAACACCCCAGCCTTCACTGGGAATATGTACATGATAATAAATCATCTTCTCTCAGAAATACCAGAGGGGGTTGTCAACACGGGGTGGATTTTTGGTAGTGTTTCTTTTTTTGTATTTACATCTCATAAATGGCAAAAGGTAAGGATTGTACTTTTCAAAATAATGATTCATGCACTACTACTTCAACGTGTCAACATACTCGTTTGATTCTACTTGAAAGAGCATATATGCCAACGATAATAGCACTGCAAATACAACGGGTCAAAACCACCAAACAACCCATCAAATCCTGCATGGAAACGGCCTATTTTCTAACTCGATGTGATCGCAGTAAGGAAATCTTATCAGACAATGATGCAGAGTCTCGCCATAGTGGAGATCCTCATTAAAACCTAAGCTTGTGTTTCATTTGCTTCCTTCTGACAATCCTGACCTTCCTGTTAATTGAAAAGGAGAGCTCTGGATTAGTGTGCACTATTTTTAGGAGGCTTGACGCACTGGAAGAGAAACTTTGTCCGGGATTGTTTGTGTGTACAAATGTGCAGCTTGAATCTAGGCCTCTCTTCCCTGTGATGTGTACAACCTGAAAAACAGTAAATGTTTTATGCCTCCTCCATCTGAGTTGTGGACCTGTCCATTTAACTAATCTCATATCGGCTGTGTTGAAATTCATTTTCTGACTTGATGTACTACTGGGCCTGATTAATATGTCCACAAACAAATAGATACAGTCACATCTATTTATCTCTGAAGCTTCACACTGGCTCTCATATCTTCTAACATTGATTTTCTCTGCAACAAGAGCGACCATCAATCTAGCTTCAATTTAGGCCAATTTCTGAGCACTGCCCTCATTTGCAAAGAACTGTCAAGGCTCTGCTTAAGTCGTATGTTGTTTTTATCGGTTTCCGAACATCAGACCTGGTTTTATTTCTCTGGTGTTTTCTTGGCTCACTGACTTCTACACTTGACATTTCCATTCCTCCCACTCTAAATGGGCATTGAACTGTGCAGGTCAGTATGAGCCTGACCTCCATAAATGTTACACTGGGAAGACACATTTATCCATGGCTTATCTGGAAAGAATACTAAACTTTGACAATTGGAAGTGTATCTCCCGTAATCTCACAAGATTAAACACTTGAAGAGAGGTTTAACCAATGAATCTAAAATATATTCTGCATGTTAGTCAATGCAGTTATGAAAGACAGCAGATACAAACAGTAGCATGTCACAGTCAGGGTGTTAACATTTTAAAAAGGTTATTCGATTAAATCTGATTCTTTATTTATAGCCTATGCAACCATAATGCTTCAATTAGCTTTCTTGAACTGAAAACACATTGTGAAAGGGTCAGTGTTCTAAGGCTAGAGACAGCAGATAGCAGATAATATAGCAGATAACCAGATAGCACTGAAAAACAAGTTCAGTTTAGTTAAATGTGTGCAGTACAGTGGATATGATTCACTTCTATCCTGATTGACAGGTCATTGTGGTAGCGTCTTGTCAATCACACGGTTGCCAAAGCATACCCTACTTTATCATCTATTTTTCTCTAAATTGGACCATTATTTGCAAAACAAACATGATGCTATAATGAAAAATACTTTAAACTAGAGATTGGGACCACAAACTCATTAGCAAAGTGTTTACTGAGGTAACAAATTAAGTGAGAAGTACGGCCATTTTGTCATTAACTCCAGTGCTATCCGACTTCTTTTTGCAACCAGTGAAGTCGCCCTCTGCTGGCCATTAGAAAGAATGCAGGATTAAGGGACTCTGCATTGGCTTCACTTTTCAGACCCGGTCGTTGCCTATTGACATGTATTACCCCAGTGACAGGTAACACCTTCCCCTTGCCGGTTGGTCCATTCTCCTGAGTATTAGTTCAGGTTCTATGTAATCATGGGTTCCACATAGTAGGAAGTCTGTAGTGATTACGTGCACAACTGTTTCTGCCAGCAGATAGAAAAGGGTGGCATTTATTAAGCATCCATCTTCGCTCCTCTTACCTGCCAAGCCTCAGCATCCCTCAACGAACACAGATTTTCCTTATTGAGGGGCTGGCAGGAATCCCCTATACTTGAATGATGTGTGTGCCTGCTGAATAAAGAATAGAGTGAGCGAGAGAGAGAGCAAAGACAGATAGAGAGATAGATGGAGAGAGTGAGATAAAGGCGTGAAGGTAGGATTAGGGATGAGGGGTGCAGGACATACCAGCACCATTCCATGTACAGTATGCACACACACACACAACCAGACCATCAACTATTAGTCAATTTATTGATTTAGTCATCTTTCAAGCACAAATGGCAAATAATCTCAGGTCCCAGCTGCTCAAATGTGACGATATGCTCTGTAATCTGTAATACATTGTTTAACAACTCATGATAGGCTGAAATATTTAGTTATCATTAACATCCTATTTTATTGTCGTCTTATGTCATGATCCGTGTGCAGTGTTTTTGCCAGCTTACATTTAAACTAATTGTTTCAGCTCTAATAAGCTGTTGGGCCAAGCATTATTTTTTATTTAACCTTTATTTAATCAGGCAGGACACTTAAGAACCAATTTCTTATTAACAAGGATGTTGGCTTGCATAAGGGGATTAGCCTCTTAAGGGGAGGGGGGAGTGGATACAAGTTAAGACATACAAAACATTCAGGGTTAAGGAACAGACAAGGCAATAACATACAGAGGTTAAAAAAGAAGGTACCGGTACAGTGGGGGTATAAACAACGCAGTGTAGCAGACAGACTAAATAACAGCACTTAATATAATAATTTAAAACAGTTTTGAACAGGCAGAAAAACATTTAATAAAGTAACATCTTCTAGTTCCATTTCCCAAATGTGAAGGTTTGCTGCTTTTTTCTTTGTCTTATAACACTATAGTGATTACCATGACGTTTTGCACTATGTGTCGAACAAAAGAAGTGATTTTTAAAAGACAAGGGCTGTAGCTACCAATTATTTTCTCGATTAATCATCTGTAAAATTTCATAAAATATTGAAAAATGCTTATCACAATTAAACGTGACTTTACCAACTTGCTTGTTTTCCTTAAGCAGCACTTCAAAACCCTAAAATTTAATTCTTTACTATCAAATAAAATAGAGAAAACTCCAGATCTGTGAAACTGAGAAGGAACATATAGTTGACTCTTTTTCTCTATCTAATAACCAATCAACTAACCTTTTCAGCTCTCAACATCAGCCTGGGTTTTGGGAAATTGTAACAGCTGTTTTCACTACTTTATGACATTTCTTAGACCAAACTATACTTTCAACACAGGGCATCAGGGTGTGTTTCATCTGTAAACCTAAACACTATAACCAGGTTTTTGAACTAAAATTTCAAAACCATAACTCCATTTTTCAAAAAGCACACCCATTTATCTAA